GAGAGAGAGAGAGAGAGAGAGAGAGAGAGAGAGAGGTGACATACCGATGTTTAAAAAATAGAGACAATGTGTAATGCTGTATTTACATCTACCATATAATAATAACCATAATAATAATAATAACCATAATAATAATAATAATAATAATAATAATAATAATAAAAAAAATAAATGTGTTAAGCTGTATTTACATCTACCATATAATAATAATAATAATAATAATAATAATAATAATAATAATAATAATAATAATATTAATAATAATAATAACAACAACAACAATATTGATGATGATGATGATGATGATGATGATGATGATGATGATGATGATGATGATGATGATGATCTTATTATAATGGAGCTAAGCCCGTTTGTGAGGTCAGTATACATTTTTTACACAGGTGCCCATAAAACCTACAGAAATATTATTCAGCTAAGAATTATTACCAAGGGTTACGTGGGCATATTTTCAAATTTCGAGAACTATTATTTGATTTTTCAGGTTTGATGGTTTGTCCTGTATATCGAAGCTCTCAGATGTTTTCTCTTTGCCATTAGCCATTTCATATTTTACTGGGGACTACTTCCGTTTCGGTTTGTGCTTCCTCGTGTATTTGCCAGCTGCTTCTACTATTTCCAGATCTAGAATCTCGATATCCAACTCTGTTTGGATGTGTGATTTGCAGTGCCAATGGATACTTCAGGCTAAACTTCATTATATTGACTTTTCTAAACACGTTTGATGTAGTCATGTCCCCAGCACGTTGAGCTCGTTTAAACGCACAAAATGTTTATTTCGTAGTACATTGTACTGATGTTTTCAACATTTGGGTCGTATTAGGAGCGTAATATATTTTTTTATAGAGCAAGACTCTAGACCTAGATCTCTCTGTTGTTTATATCCTAGATATATTTGGAGCACAGAATTCAAGACTGGTTTGGAGTACTTTGCAAGAACGGAAGTGACGTTTCTGCTTTGTCGTGTGTGTACCACAGAGTTCTACCAATGATAGTACATAACAAGATGGGCCACTTCTCTCTTTGAGCCAATTAAAAAAGTGTCCTCAAAATTTGGTGGCGCCCTCTTCACAAAAGCGCACTCTTTGCGAACAGAGTTACCCTACTTGAGTTTTAAAAAATCAAAGTGAAACTAGCAAGTTTTGGGATAAATTTCGGAAGAACGCTTTTTTTTAATGGTTACGCTGGCAAAAAACCTCTTCCGGAGGAAAGGGGGATGGTTTTCTTCGTTTAATTTGACTTTAGAATGAAAGGCGAGAGGTCATTAAAATTAAAAAAACCCTAAAACTCCGCACTGAACGTACCCGAACTGCTGATGAACAGCAGTCGATCTGCGCACGCAAGGAGGTGCTATTCCTATTCTTCTTCTGGAAAAACGAAAGAGAGCTTCAAAACAGACTGCAGCGCCATCTGAAGCAAAGAGCATACTTCCTGCGGACACTTTTTTGGCTGAGTGGCCCATCTTGTTATTTACTATCATTGGTTCTACTTCGTGTTTACAAAGCTGCTTCTACTGTTGTCCGATCTAGATTCTCGATATTTAACACTGTTTGAATGTGTTCTTTGCAGTTACAATGGGTACTTCAGGTCAAACTTCATTGCATGGACTTTTTCTAGATATCTGTCTGGGTGTAGAGATGTCCCCAACACGTTGAGTTCGTTTGAACCCACAAAATGTTCACTTCGTTGTATTGACGTTTTCAAAATTTGGAGAGTATTTTCTACGTTACTTTTTTATAGAACAAGGCTCTAGATCTAGATCTAAATATCCTAGATGTATTTGGAGCACAGAATTCCAGACTGATTTGGAGTAGTTAGCAAGAAAAATTAATCTAGATCGAGATCTGTTCGGAGTAATCTAAAGATGCCCATGGAATATAAGATAATAATGTAGTAAGATGCCCCCCTAAACGTAGAAAGGAGTTGAAATTGAGAGGAAACGGAGAAAGGCAACTATCAATCAGAATTTATGTACTAATAGTCAGAATCTAGAAGAAAACCTAAATCAGCGTTCGTAGAACGGGTTTGTATCTTGTAAAAATAATAATAATAATAATATTAATAATAATAATAATAATAATAATAATAATAATAATAATAACAACAATAACAATAATAGCTCATCAGTCCATATCTGACGATGTCCATTACATCCGTAGAGAAAAATTTCTTCAGCGAAATAAAATTTGAAGAATGAAAGGTTATGATGAATTGTGGTTTCTGCTGTGGCCGATCTACCAATATACTTGGATGATATATAATTTACATATCAGACCGGACACTGTCATTGCTGCCGCTTTTTCCTCTCTGTAAAAAGTTTGCTGCGCTGGTGTGCTTCGTGAGCACTCGTAGGAAGGAAAAAATACCAGTCCCGTCGTGGTCGAGTTCGTGCGGAACCTTTCCCCCTTGGCCTTCTCAAATGGTGCGCCCCAT